AACAAGTACGAAATTAATCACAATTAACTCCGTACATCACAACACATATTTGTACGTCACGTACAAATTTACAACATAATATAAATATAATTTCACAACACAATATAAACATAACAACATAATTTTCAACATAATTTAATTATCTCGATCAACCTAGAGAAGAAGATGGAGGGAGTATTAGATGATGAAATTGAGAGAAAATGGAAGTTAACTTTTGGACGAATGATTTTGCGTGACGAATACTGTGCTCGTCGCACAAATACACTTTGCACGACTAATATATCATTCGTTGCACAAGTCTACATTTTTTTTTCGTTTACTTTATAAATTATTAATGTAAATTTTTTTTTTCATCTAAATAAAAAATTAAAAAAAAACTCAAACCTAATTAAACATTACCAAATTAATTAACAAAACTAATTTATTATCCCAAATACATATTATAATCAATGTAAATATTAATAGGGAACTTGCTTGCGTTGGTACCTCTCTACTCGCAATACAACTTTCCTTTCACGAGCGCCTTCTCCCGAATCAGCCATTACCTAAATTTTTTTTCCTTTCCTGCCATTTTTGCGCAACGAATATGTTTGTTCGTCACGCTAGTGCCTCTTATGCGACAAAAAATGTTTCGTCGCGCAAGCTATTTTTTCCACTAGTGAATACTCGTGGGAACAACTTCATACTTGCTCTTACTATACTACAATTGGTCTTGTGCACTTGCAAGTTAAAATTGGGTTTACTTATATGATTAATAGGTATTTTGAGCTCACATCACCAAGCAGGTTTCCCTGGTTCAAGTAGAGCTTAAGTGTTGAAACCAATTGTCCCACATCGGACAGAGGGAAGGAGAAAGAGTACTTTAAATAGAATTACCCCACTCTAACTAATATCGAGGCCTTTTGTGATAAAACCCCACACCTGAGGATTGTGCAGGTAGTTAAGTGGGGACAGTATCGGTGTTGTTAGAGTGGGCCCTCGGCCCGTCGACCTAAAAATTTTCACATGGTATCAGAGCCAAGGGACGGGCCCGTACTGCCACGTGATTGGGTGGGTCTCCATTGGCCCCACGTGATTGTCCACGTAGGCCAAAGATGCCACGTGTTTGGGTGGGTCCCCAATGACCCCACGCGATTGGGTGAGTCCCAACATGGCTCCACGTGGTTGCCGATGTGTGAAATTTCACGTGTGACCCATAAATGGGGTCTCACGTGTGGGGGAGTGTTGAAACCAATTGTCCCACATCGGACAGAGGGAAGGAGAAATAGTACTTTAAATAGAATTACTCCACTCTAACTAATATCGATGTCTTTTGTGATAAAACCCCACACCTGAGGATTGTGCAGGTGGTTAAGTGGGGATAGTATCAGTGTTGTTAGAGTGGGCCCTCGGCTCGTCGACCTGAAAATTTCCACATTAAACGACCTACCAAACCGAAAACATAGTAAAATAACAAGCAAATCACATGCCCAAGGAAGAAAAAGGGTCCATGTAGCCAAGCCGTCAAATCCAGAATGCAAGAAACAAACATCTTAACAAATTATTTGAAGAAAAAAAAAAAAAAAAAAAAAAGAGGTAAGCAAAGCAATTTTTTCATATGAAATTTCAAGCAAGTAAACAGACTGAGGAAAAACAGGGCATGTACATGCCCATGGAGGCTCTTCATAAAAAGTTCCATGTAGTTTGTTAGTCCCTTCTCTTTTCAGAAAAGTTTGTTGCGATCTCGTAGCCTTAAAGAAAGGCTATTCCAAATGGCGATTGACATGTCCAAGGAGTAGGTTGTGTTAGGATATATTAAATAGTGTAAGATTGTGACACTTTGTCATTAGATTGTGAGTTTAGTAGTTTGCTCTCCTTCATGATGCTCATATTGTCTTTGTTAGCTGTGCTATATAAGCTTCAATGTAATGACTTGATCATTAAGTAATCAAAACAAAGAATATTCAGTCTCCTTTCTCTCTCTATATCTTTCTCTCTCTAGTTCTTGATTCTCTCTATTTCTTCAATTTCTGTGTACATTAACATGGTATCCATCACCATAACTGCTCGCACGATTCTTCTCGATCCTTCTTCTACTTCCGCTCTTCAAGTTTGATCAAGAATTTCTGTTTCTTGCTTGCAATCGTGTTCTTCTTCTCTGAGCGATTGTGTAATTCAAGATTTCTCCTCTTCTCCTCAATTTATAGGTACTTCGAGCTCACATCACCGAGCAGGTTTCACTGGTTCAAGTAGAGTTTAAGCGACCTACCAAACCGAAAACATAGTAAAATAAACTACAATGTTCCACGCAAACCATTTGAGCAACCTAAAGCCAAAAAAATTGAAGAACAAGAAAGTCGCATGCGAAGAAAAAAAAAATCATGTAGCCAAGCTGTCAAATCCAGAAATGCAAGAAACAAACATTATAATAAATTATTTGACGGAACAAAAAAACAAAAAAATAAAAAAAGGAAGCAAAGTAATATTTGGAAATGAAATTTCAAGCAGGTAAACAGGCTGAGGGAAAACAGGGTATGTGCAAGCCCATCGAGGCTCTACATAAAAATTTCCATGTCGTTTGTTAGTCCCTTGTCTTTTCAGATGAGTTTGTTGCGATCTCGTAGCATTAAAGAAAGGCTATTCCGAATGGCGATTGACATGTCCAAGGGGTAGTTTGCCCTCCTTCATGAGGCTCATATTGTCTTTGTGGTGGTCTAGAAATCGTATTCTGCGGCAAGCAGAACATGTGTAACCAGTAGACGTGGTAAGCAGCCAGTGCAGCATCAATGGTGGATCCCACAAGGGACACTGCCAATAAAGGCAGACTGAGAGAAGGAGGTGGTGTGGACACCCGAGCTAATATGCATACCGGAACTCTACACACCTTCTCAATGGACCGCGACAGATCGCGGTTAAAAGTGACTGCAAATCGAATATGAGAATAAATTGATGAAAGGCAGAGCCAAGCCGAAGATAGAGGAGATCGGATTTGTGGGGTTGACCGGAGTTGTAGAGGATGACTGGGGGACATGAAGATGAAGGGATGGATCTGAGGACATAATTGAGTAGGAATGATGGTAATAAGGGTGCATAGGTCACACTAATCGGGATGGATAACAGGGGGAAAACAGTAACAGAAAGGAATGAGGGAAAAAACTGTAGAAGATAGGAAACGATTGCCACCGACCTTGGACATAGCCAGGGTCGGCAGCTGAACAGAAAATCAAGAAGGAAAACCTCAGACAAGAGGAGAGAAGAAGTCTCATCTAGGAAGAAAGACTCCCGTTGTCGTAGTATAGTAGTTCAAGTAAGGTTGTTTGCCATAAGGATTGAATGAATAATATGTAAAGATCAAATCTTAATTAATTATTTGAAAACAAAGTTTTGAAATGGTCGATTTTATTGCCTAAAATATTAAAAACGAATTTAATTAAACACAATTAAATAAATTGGCAAAGTAAATAAAACAAAATAAAATAGTTTTGAAAATAAATTTGAGCACTAGGATCCCGTCGTCACCTTAACAATCCTACGTAGTTCTTCCAATTACTTATGAATTACCCATGCATATTTTGAAGGTTAGGTTTTCTTAAAATATGTCCTACTTTGGACCTCTAATTTCTAACATACAACTCATCCATGGCATCATCGAATTTAAACATGCAAGACTCATTAAGTTTTGTGAAATCCTTTTGAAAAACCTTATAACCCTTTAAATGTGTCGTCCATCCTAAGAAGTTACATATATTAACCACAAAAAATCAGCGCTAATTTCAAGGACAACCCTCCACCAAAATTGCATCAAATTACTTTTCTAAATACCCTAATGGTGGCCAATTATCAAGACAATTAGATAGTTTAAACCGGTGATTAATAATTCAAAACCTACATGCATAATATCTTAAGTAAATTGAAAAGAAACTACATATTCTTACTAAAGCTCGTGGCCTCGTCTTAGCAAATGAAACTAGTTACTAACAACCATAAAACAAAATATTATTAAAAAAATGGATAAAAAACATCTTAAAAATAAACTTGAATCGTCAAGAGCTCTCTAAGTAGCGAATGCCTAAATTTTATGCGTCCGCCTCCCTCCTTTTTAACCCTAATGGCTAAATATCTTTATTTATACTACTACAAAAATAAAACCCTAAAAAGTCTTAGAATAAAACTAGGAAACATAATAAAATAATAAAATAGAAAATAAAAGGATTCTTATTTGAATTAAAATTCGGACTTTTCAGAAAATCAGTCTTTTGACCGACCAAATCAACTCTGATTTAGTCCCAAAAGGTCTCTTTTGAAAGATGGAAACATCCCCTACAAATCCTCAGAAGAAATCTTCCTCAAAATATGCCATCTTGACCTCCAAAATACCCAAAACATCCAGAAATATCAATCTGGAAAAGCTGCGCGTTGGGCCTTCTTTTCATTGCCACAGTTAAACGGCTTGGTAAAAAATCTGAAATTTTGATACAATCATCTTGAAAGACTCCCGAATATCCTCAAATTAGAATCACTCCAAAATTCATCCGTTTGATCAATTTTTGCTCCAGAGGAATTCAAATGTCCTACATTAAAAATATAATCCAAAGTATCAAAATTATACCGAAATAACCAATAAACTATAACTAAGAATGGGTAAAATATATAGTATAATATCGACTCATCAAAAAACCCCCAAACTTAGCTTTTTGCTTGTCCTCAAGCAAAACAAAACTCAAAAACAAATTAAAAACTAACAAACTAGAAACTTTATTAAAACTCAAATAAAACAAAATTTTCATCTTCAAGTTGCAATAGATAACAAATGTTAAAAATCAAAACATCTTTCCAAAAGTTCCAACTAATCCCACCACAGAGTCTCTAAGCCATTTAGAAAAAATTAGAAAAGAATTCATGAACTTCATCTGATGTAAAGTGAACCAACAATGTTAAAGAGACTCGACTAAAATCCCTACCTTTCGTACTCTTTATTCCATACATACTAACTTTATATATTTCTTTTTTTCTTTTTTCGCTTTTTTTCTTCTAGTAACAGTAGTTGTCGTGCAATGTCAGTTCCCTTAAGCTTTCGATCCAACCCATGTAACAAGCTTTAGGTCAATGACTCCCAAACCACAAAGGCTTTAGGGCATTAGATGTAGAACACCGACTTATTAACTCAAGCTGAAAAGACTACAAAACCAACTAACCACCCTACCCCATGCCAAAACTTAACCGTTTTACGCGAGAATCACTGCTTATTAGGCAGGACTGACCCGATTACTAAGCAAAGTTTCAGGTGAAACAATTATTACTTTATTTGTAACACATACTAAACTTTACTAAAAACAAAAATTAAAATACATTCAAACTAAAAGTAAGTGTTTCAATCTCACTCCCCACAAACCATGTTGAAGTGAACATGCAAATTTCAAAGTATAACTCATGAATTAGCGTCTAAGCAATAATAAATAGAAAAGACTCTACTATGAGATGAACCCTCACTATGTTCATTTGTTCTAACGTTTAAAATAAACTATGGATATTAACTTAAAAGAATGAAATTTTTTAATTTGACTCAAAAATTAAAAATCTAAAATTTCTTATTTCCCACTTTCAAACTTAAATCACACATTATCCTCAAGGTGTGGAAAGTAGAAGAAAAACAAAAATAAACTAAAACAACAAAATAAAAATAAAACACCACCTTAATTGATTAGAAATAGAAAGACGAAAAATAAAACTAGAAAATAAAACAAAAGACAAAGCAGAACAAAGTATAAAATGATACAAAACGAAAAATAAAATAAAGGGAATGGAAGAGGACACACCTGGGATCGAACCTGGGACACGAGAGCATCAAAGAAGGCGCTGAAAAATAAAATCCCAAAAGTTGTGCTGCGTGCTGGACTGGAACCCGTGACCTGCTGGAATAGCTTGAAGCGCTGAGCCTCTTCACACGAGCCACACGTGCTGATGGGAACCCTAGCAGATTCACATATAAACTAAGTTTTAGTTCTCATTAGAAATTTGTACCCACAAATTGCTACAGGGTTGGAAATTGTATGAAAGATTATGCGTGCAAGATATAAAAGATTATGTTGCAAAACATTAATACATTGAAAACATTTGGTAGATTGTTATATACAAAAGTGTTTATCCACACATTCCTCAAGTTGTTCCTTTGGAGCTGTCAAGATTATGCTTTGGTCCTCTTGGTTTAAATCCCTGCTTTAGCTCTCTTCTTGAGGTCTGATTACACAATTTTACATGTCTGAACTTAGTGGCAATTCATTTAAGCATGTAAGAGAATGGTGATAACACACTTCAATCAAACTGGTTACTCTTTGCACTCAATTTTTTATCAAATATATAGAACCAAAGACCAATTGTTAAAACGTGTTTAATAAGGGATTTATTTAAAAAAAAAAAAATCCTTCAAATACATAATCTAACTGGCAAGATATGTATCAATTTACTAAATCCATCACTCCAATCTCTAAACTAAATTTTGATTTCATCTAATAACCTTGGGCCTACTGCTATATCGTTTCAACTTTCAAAATAACTTCGGTAAGGATCTGAGTCGGAGTATTAGTGCTTACAAACCTTCTATTGGTAGTAAGTTTTTGCGACACTGAGTTGAAGTCCTAACTCTTGTTCAGTGCTGTATCATTTGAATAATCCTAGACCTATAAGAAAAAAACAAAACACAGAGGGATTTCCTCCCTGATTGTTGTGATAGGAATCACTCAAGGACAATAGGAACCACTCCAATTCATAATAGCATTTCACTGACTGAAAAATACATCAATTGACTGATAGGAATCACGAAGCACTTAGCACAGATGTCAAAAGATACATCATTTGACTGAAATACGAAAAAGGATAAAGAACTCTTAACCTTCCCTGACGACATAAGAACCCAGTTATAAGAAATCTATTTAGCCCTCAATGAAATCCTTGTTTTGGGCAAGGCAATAACAACAAAACCTCTTCATCCAGCTAGTTTATGCATTCAAAGTCGGGATGAAGGATCACACACATAAATACAGAACCATACAAACACCATCAGGAAGCAATTTGTATAAAGATTATATTCCCCACTCAAACAATGAAAGATGATAAAAAAAAACAACTATACTTTTTATTCTATTGCAATTCGAGCATCCGACCCGAAACCAATTGGCAACGGGTGGAGACGCCCGAGATATTTCAAACTATTTACGTAACACTTCAATTCCCGACATGGGATTCACACTCTCGAAACAATACCTGCTCCAAGAAGCAATATACTCTCAAAATTTTCAACTTACTAATTTTGTAATAAACACAAAGAAAACTTGTCATTTTCTCACTAACCCTTTTTTGTTCATTTTCATTTTCACTATATTCCTAATTAAACAAAACTATAAATCAAACTGAAAAACTATAATCTGCTCCTCTGAAGAATCCAAATTTTGCATCAAGTCTATGTATTTACTTTAATAATGATAAAAACATGAATTTTGCCAGGAAATTAATATAATCCATCACTCCAATCTCTAAACTAAATTTTGATTTCATCTAATACTCTAGCAGTAAAGATCAAACAATCAAATGTAATGAAACCAAACCAAATCTGCTTGAATTAAATTCTACACACTTCAATTCAATCTCAAAATTGAAAATGAACACTTCACTTTTACAAAAGTTGTACAGAGCAAAAAAAAAAAAAAAAAAAAAAACCCACAAATTCAAAACCACAAAAATCCAATCTAAAACATTGAATCACCAAGATCATGTAACATGAATCACAGCCATCCAAACACAAACTGTAGTTCGTAACTATTGTACAGAGAAGAACTTTTACCTGCAGATCCACCGTGTCCTTGCGCCTGCCAATACTGATCACTCAACGATCAGATCAGAATCGAAACGAAAGAAATAGAGAGATCGAAAAAGGCAAAACACAGACGGGAGAGAGAGAGGAGAAAAGAAGAGGAAAGGGTTCCAGCATCTTTCCCACAAAACACGAAAGCCACACGGGCAGCAGGCACGCGCAGCAGGTATGATTAATGGCAAAATGGCCAATTCATTGCACAATCCCACCAAAATCAGAGAACACTAAAGAAAATGAGGGGCAAATCCGTCCGCACACTATAGATCAATAGTGCCATCCTAAAACTCAGTTTTAGTATATATAAACTAGAAACTTGTACCCACGCAATACTGCGGGATTGAAAATCATATGAAATATTTTATAGCTTCAATTTTCATAAACAATGTTTGAGTGAAAAAACAGAGAATTACAAATGGCAACCCAAATTAATTCAAACGAAATCTACACAACCCAAAATAAGAGATCAAACGAAATATGCACAACCCAAATGAAGAGATCAAACTCTACTTCTATCAAAAAGCCATTATTCCTAATGCCACCTTTCTCTTTGGCACCCTATCCATTATGTCAGCAATCGATACAGAAATAAATAAGTCCATAAAAAAAACCCAAGATGTATATGTACACAACACAAATCAACCCAATCAGCGAACTTTATTTAAATAGAACCAAATGAGTAATAAGTCATTGAACCCTCACTTCACCATTCTAAATTTTTCCATATCTCTCTGTGTGTATATGAGGGTAGACATTCAACCCTCACTTCTTCTTTTTTTTTGAGAGTTCTGCATACTAATTGGAGGAAACCAAGGAATTTGAAGCTTTTTCATACCTCAGCTTATATTTTGAGGGAATTTAATGTGTTCTTGGAAAAATTGGTAAAAGTGAATGTGGAGGAATAGGGGAAGAGTCTACTGTCTCTCAAGCTCTTCCCTTTGAATTGTTGTAAAAGAAACTCTCACATCCACCATTCCCCCTATTCCAAATGAAAAAATTTAAATTAAAAATTTTAAGAAGAAACTCAACAGAAAATCACTAAATAGTTCAATAAATTTGGAATCATTGTTATTTTCCAGAAGAAAAAAAGGTAGAAACTTTACCTGAGGAACTGAAAGCCAAGCTATGCTGAGAGCAAGGCAGATGGTGCTGCAAATGTTATGGAGGGGCAATCAGAACTGATAGGATTGAATAAATCAGTCGGAAAACTCATGATGTGATCAATCTGTTCGTTGCCGACCTGCATCCACACAAAAAGCATACAAAAAAATCGCCAATTAGATTCGATAGCATACCACAATGTCATGACGCAAAATTAACTGTAATCACGAAATTAGCCACCTGAAATTTGCCGGACAATTCACCAGGAAACCCAACTTTTTCTGGGTTTAAATTTTCTCCCAATCCGAAACGGATTCATCTAAAACACAAAGTCGGACAGGCTAATCCCTTCACTGGACTGTGATTTAACAGAGGTCCACAATCTCTCCAACAGGGCCTCTGCATTGCTACTTGTTTCCTAGGTCCTGGACTAGAAAATCCCCAAATGGGCAAATCCAAATTTTATCATCAAAACCAAAATTATAGTAAAAAAAAATACAATTATTTTTCCGAAACCCTTCTAAAGGGCAGAAAGAGAGAGAAAATACAATTTAAGTTCGGAAACCTACAGAAGGGTTTTGGAGGAGGAGCAGAGATGAGGAGAGGTGCGACCACCATGAAGACTCCAGGTTAGTCATCCTGAATTCAGTTTGCAGCATAATTACTGCTGCTTGTGGTGATTCGCCTATCATTGTCTGGCGAGCAAAAACCCTGAATTCTCGTAAAGAGGTCCAAGCTGTGCTGCCTTTTTGGAACAACCTTTCTTAGGCTGGTGAGAAGTGCCCTTCTTGCGATTCTTCAAGGAATTGCAAAAGGTGAAACCCGCTTTTAGTTCTCCCGTGAGTGAAAGTTGAAGGGGGAGCACCAAGGGACGAACTTGCTCACTTTTCTTCCTCACAGAAAATGGTTGTGCTAAAGCCGGCTGCTGCTTGTTTAGGGCTTCAATAACAAATGAGAACGCCCCAAAAGTGAGACAGCTTTGTAGAAGAGCCTGGGTTGCACCTGCAAATTAAATAAGGTATTCTAAATTAAAGATACAATAGACTGTACAGAAACTGCTTTATTGATTAGCAAGGAAAAGACTTGATCGTTATAACAATCCAAAAATGAGAGAGAACAAAAATCGGGAGTTCTATAGATATTAAGAATTTAAATTTTAATAGCAGTCAATGAGTTTATTGCTAATTTATAAATTATCAGACTCTGTAATACGATGGATACCTGGAAAACTAAGAGCAAGATCAGTGCAACATCCAGCTGCTCCAGCATTAATGACAGCAGAGGAAAAAAGAGTGAACACGATATAATGAATGAATAACGTAAAAGTATTATTTCTGCATTCAAGTTCCAATACCATAATCCTTTCCTCGCAGCCTCTTCCACATGCAGACAACCAAACCGTGCACTCTGGACAAAACTGCAAATGTCTAAAAAGGGGAAAATATAAAAAGAAAGCTTAACAACTGAAATCAAAGAATCATTCTGACATTGTAAATAGCATTTCACAAAAATACTAAACTAATTACACTCAGATTGCAATGCTATCATTTAATAATAGGAATTTAAATTCCTATATCAATATATATCAAATTCCACATAGTTTCAAATTGTTACAATGGAAGCAGTGCAAACTACTTTGAGAAAAGTGAGTCATGTTCATCAATTTCGAAATAAATATGCAATCATTGTAACTCTTTTGATCCATGACAAAAACTTTGGAAGGAAAAAAAAAATACAAATAAAATGCTACAATTCCCACCTCAAGAACTGGGTTCTAATTTTAGCTTTCCGGGATTCAAAACAACTGATAGTGGAATTGATTTTAGTTCCTTGGCAAATTTTCGCCGGAGGCAAACATAAAATTATCAATAAAAAGGGAACAACAGAATTAAGACTTGCTATCCTCGTAGGCATCCTAATTGCCTTTAGCTTGGAAGAATTGAGGATCACTAATATGTTCTCTTCAATTGTTCTCACATTTCTTGTACTGCTTAAAAAAGTGCAGCTAAAAACATGTAAAAGCATTATTACAAAAAAGATGTGTTTAGTCAAACACCTGGTCTCCCTCTTAAGCAAATCAAAAGCTCTTGAGCTCACCACAGTATTATGTAATTAGAGTTCATAATTGAAGTATATATGGATTGCATTCCTAGCATTTGTTATATCAACCATTCGTAATAAAAGGAGTGCTATGTCAAATGTATGAGCTACTACAAGTTGTTTATGCAAAGTGACTCTCCCAACACATAACCCATTAACTAACATACTCAAAACGGATTTACTATTTACACTCATAACATATCAATGGTCCAACAATTGTGGGGCTCGAAATTTATATAAGGGCCAATCAAATCATAAATTGAAATTAAAACGTGTAAGTAATTAAGAATTATTACTTGCTAAAAAAAATCCCAGTAGTCAGTTCCTTCTTGTTACTTCAGGGATTATCCAACAACTGGATCCGATCAAACTGCATCACCCAACAAAACAAACGAATAAAAAAATCAGGGGACTTAAACTAAACATACACTAACCTACCTTCCGGCTAGGAGAGTTAAACTAAACATACACTAACCAAAAGGGTTAAACACAAAATCCAATTAATTAACAAAATCTGATTAAAAACACCATCTGTTTGCCTAAAGATCCAAAAAAAATTTATCTACAAAATAGAAAAGTAGAAGAATTTGGAAATAAAAATAAGAAAATGAACCTTCTTTTTCACGTCTTGTTTACTGACAGTCATTTATCAAACTGCAAGTTTTTCATCAGCTGTGATTCACAGACCCTCACAAACATACAGATAACAGATAATACTGCAATCAGATCAAAACCCTCGAACAACCGGATAATTAGATTCCTCACATTTCTTTTTAAATGCCAGAAAAAGGAATTTCACGAATTGGAGAAAGAAAGATAAATTACAGATTAAAAACAAAGAAGACAATGTGAGAATATTGATAAAATATTCAGATTGAACATACAAAAATAAACTCCCAGATAAGAAGAATCTAATTACCTAAACATCTAAAAAATAGCATCAAACACAAACATCAAACATAAACACCCAAATATAATTCGTGATATCAGCCAAAAGGAAAATACCTCTCGATTAGATGTTTTTTTGTTCACAAACTTTCTCCTTGACAAACTCCTGAGATAGAACCAAAAGGGAAAATCAGTCACAACTACTGCAAGTAGAGAGGAAGGAGTCAAAGAGAAGTGGGAATTTATGAGTTACTACCATCTTTAGTACAATTTACCTTTAATTCATCCTTCTGGTTTGCACTCCCTACTCTTTTGGTAGACGATCTCATCCACAAACAGGTGGTATAAGATAACCCATTCATAAAAGAATTGAATTGAAGGAGTTCATTGATAAGTTCATATTTTTCCAGTCTTGAGTCAATTCTTACATACAATTAACAATATGGGTTGTATATTTATATGTATAAGCCATCCAAACTACTAATCAGAACTCTTAAAAGAAACTGATTTGATCATTAAAACTGAATTCTTTTAGTTTCTTTGCTTACCCAAAACCCCAAATACAAAGTAACTAAAAAACCCCCCAAAATCTCACACAGAGATTCATCAAACAGCCGAAAAATAAAAACCCAGAAGCCAAAAGCAATAACCCAGAACTCACCGAAATCAAAACCACGTCTGAAGACGTCCAAAAAAACCAAATTGGGAAAGGATCAACGAAGAACTCACCGAAATTGAATCGAATGGAGAGAATGAACCACCAGGATACGAGGAATGCGGCAAGCCAAGGGCTACCATGAGTGAGTTTTGGGTTGTTGATTTCAGATTTCTCGTTCGGGTAAAGGAGGAGGATAAACAGAAAATACAAAACCTTCATATCCCGAAATTAGACACACCCAAGTGACCTCGACCAAGAGATTGAGCACTCGAACATCAATGACAGAAAGGGGCACAGCTCAACAATTAAATCAAGGAGAAACATAAACAAATACCCAGATGACAAAACAGGAAAAATATCAAAAGGAAAACAAAAATACAAACACCCAGGTCCACAGAGGTCACAAAAACACGAAATCAAAGAAACCCATTTACCATTAACACTTATAAACTGAAAAGAATGGATAAAAAAACAGAAGGGCAGGAAATTACAGCGGGGCCATGAACAGGGTCAAGAGCAATGAAGGCTTCGACGTCAGAGTAGGACCAGGGAGGAAGGGGCTTGTCCTGCTTAACGAACTTGGAGTAGTTGGTGAGGAAGGAGAATCGTTCGCACCAGAAATCCTTGAAACCCTCCCAACGCTCACTGACGAAGGACCAAAGATTGAAGAGCGCGAAGCAGAGATCGAAAAGAGCAGAGATGGAAGAGAGATGGCGAAGCTGAGTGCGGGTTCTGAAGAAATTAAGGGATTTCCATTGCACTGCACTGCAGGGACAAAAATGCCATTTTACTGTATAAAACACACAAAAATGTACACTTACAGAGCAACTCCTTGGCAAAAGAGAGCGGTCAATTCCACTTAATGTCTTATCTTCCCACTTATATTTTTATAAATTTTTTAAGAAAAAATTAGTATCCGGTCTCTAGTTCTTACTGTTTATTGACTAAGACCTTATAAGTTCTCAAATTTTGATTCAAGTCTCTAGCATTAATGTGATAATGAATTTACATGTTTATTATATAAATTTTTAATATAAAAATTAGTAATTAATTTAGGGTTTAATACTCACACCTCTATTAAACTTCTAATTAATTTTCAATTCAAACATTTCCAAAATAATAAAAAATTAAATTAAATTAAGTTTGTACCTATTAGTTTTTTTTTTTTATATATATATAAAAAGATTCTCAATTTTTTAATCTTAAATGTACCCATTCATATAATTTTTCAATTTTTTTAATCTTAAATGTATCCATTCTCAAATATATCAATTTGTTATATGTAAAATGTACCATTTTTTAATATAAAATCCATTCAAATTTTTTAATCCATGTTTAAACTTATATGGGTACATTCTTTTTCGTTGATTTGAGAATGTATCCATGTTTTGGTAGAATAACTTTTTTTGTTAATTTTGGTTAATGTACCCATACATATATGTGTACACACACAATACAATAGAGAGTATAATTTATATTTTATTATTTTTAATCCCATAAATTATGGATTTTATTTAAAATCTCATTAATATAAACAATTACAAATTTCAATTTTTAATTTTTAATTTAAAAAAATATAGTAACTTATATCATTACATTAATGTTAGGGACCTCAATCAAAAACTAAAAACTAACAAGATTTCAATCAAAGAATATTGATAGCTAGCGACCGCATCCAAAGTGTGCCATTTTTTAATTACATATTTGTTCATTTGTAAAATGACTAATAAAAACCTTAGTTACCCCATTTTACATTACTTTTTTTTATAAAAAAAAAAAAAAAAAAAAAAAAAAGTTTGGACGTGATAACTCTCACACTATGTTTAGGAAATTTGTCTCTCTTAAACCCTAACTCATCATTCCTATCTCCTTTCATTCAGAAAAAGCAAAATCATTTTGAGAAAGCAAAAAGAATGAACTTAGAAGATAGAGTTTCTATGGAAGAACTAGATGATTGTATTTCCGTCAAAGAGGTAAAAGATAATTTATATAGGTCATCTTGATTTGCCGACATCGTACAATTGAAGCATAGTTTTGTGATTTTTTATTTGAATTTGCACTAGATTAGGGTGCAATTTGTTTTTGAATGAGAATTTCTGGAATTGAAGCATAGCTCTATCGACATCGTTCATTAGGTTGAGGTAAATTTGTTGCATACTGCTGTAGGCGTGGTTGATTTAGAATTGAAAACCTAAACAACGGTAAGCGTGGTCGATTTTTCATTAGCCCGTACTTACCACAAGCACCACCTCTCTCTCCCTTTAAAGTTAGAATTGATGCCGAATTAAGCTTCAATTGTTGCATACTGCTATCGTAGAGTAAATTTGTTTTTTAATGAGTTTATGACAATACAAAAAGGCAAGACATATTTTTTTATTTTACCCTGATTGCGATGGTAATGAACCAAGTGTTTCGAGTGGCCTGGCCAAGAGAACGTTTTTTAGGAAGGGTTTTCTTACGAGCCCCAGGAAAGGTTCCAAATGTTATCTGAGGGCCTAACTGGTAAGAATGCCAAGCAAAAAAGACATCAGCCATTAATGAAGTGAAAAGATCATCTTGTTCATACCAAGTGCAAATCGACTTTTAAAGACAAACATATTGCAGGACAAAGTAAACTGCTGAGGGAAGTTAAAACATGGGTTCGGACTTGAGTAAGCTTCTCCATTTTCAATCCCGACCAAACGTGTAATATTCTTTGTTTATATTCTTTTCTTAAGAGAAATTTATCTTTAATTATATATAGGGTTATTTTAGGAATAATAGTGGGTGAGAAAATAACATTTTAATTTTTGACAACTTTTTATAATAGGTGTAAATATAACATGGGTGAGGAAATAAGACAATGAAGTGGGTCTAGCAGCTCTCAGAGCAAAATTGGATGAACAGTACCACGCTTTTCTCTTTTAGTATATAACTAGAAAGCTTGCCCGCGCGGTGCTGCGAGGGTTTAGAAATTGTATGAATCATGTAGATAGTTTTAGATATATATTTACATGTGAAAATATATTTAGACCCTAAGTCTTCAATTTCTTTGTCACAGTGAAGTCCCCAACGTCTTCAAAACGCTGAATAAAAGGCCCAGAATTAGTCTTCGAGATAACTTAAAAATATGAGGAAATTGGCAAATTAGCATAAACAATGCTATTATTTATCCAATCCAAGCCAAACTGAAATGGTGCAGAACTAACACTACAAAATTCGTCAAAGAAACTAAACAATGGGTGAATGTTTCTAAGATTTATATCTTATACAAAAATAATCTTCTGACACGGCAAAAAACACAAATTAGAGAGGAGAAAATATATAAAATTTGAGTAAAAGGTCACAAACACAGAAGTCATTTAATGGAGATTATTCGAACAGATTTTGTGAAGCAACCGCATGGATTATACATGCCAAAGATTAGATGATGGTAAGCGTCAAATGATATACTAACTGGAATCTTGAACTTCATGTGACTCAACTATATACAAAATACTTCGACAAATATTATATATTGGGATGTGCTATCCACACACCTCATTTTACTTCTCACACCCCCCCTTGATAATTTATGTTCATTAATCTTCTTCAATTCATCCGATCTGACGGCCGAAAATTAAAAAGGTGTGTGAGAAGTAAAATGGGATGTGTGGATATCACACCCCTATATATTTACCAAACACAAATACAAAAGGGCAAGTAAAAGAGTCTCTGAACGTGATATGGTGTACCAAGTTAGTAAAAATATAATCCGACATGGCCAGCTCAAACAAAAGAGATTCCTCGACTCGCAAAAGGCTAAACTTTCAGACATGCAATCCGAAATTAAGCTTTACCATTAATATTGAAAAATTATAGTTGTGAACTAATAAACTATAATACATAAAAATAACTTGTTGAAGACCCAGAACTATTTATTTGACCAAAAAAAAAAAATTGTGCCCGAAAAATTCCCTAAAATAACATTACAGGCAAAATTAATTGATGTGAAAATAACCTAAAAACTGAGAATTGGGTTTGGAGATATTACCAATGAAACAGAGGAGTAGTGGACATACTTCTATGCTCCTCTTCCTCTTTCTCTAATTGAAGTTGAGCTCTCAAGTGAAGTGGTGTTAAAGTTAAAAAAAAAAAGTGTAAAAAATGAACAACTTTGCAAAAGAATACAATAATTTATGATGAAAATCTATATTACCAATCGAAATTATATAGGGGAAAGAAACCGTGCCAAATTTGAGGCACAAATGATCAAACTCTAAAGCCCTTCATTTTTGAGTTTTTTTTTTCAACAACCAAATAAACTTTAAAAAGAAACTGGAGAATCCAGAGGAAGCATTAAAGAAAGTCAACATTTTAGGGCATCAATGTCTGCCGTAATAAAAAAGAACAGGTGTTTCCTAGCTATATTTTAGGGTAATCTAAAAATGTCTCCATCCTTGATATGAACAATATACAGTAATAGCTTGTCATTAGTTTAACAATCTATAGGTTTTACCAAACAATTAAAATCAGAACCTATGTGAAAATGTTGAAAATTGTGTAAACCACCACTTAGTTAAAATATCATTAAACTGAATGGATATACTATTATGCCTTTAACAAATAGAAAACACTGCACTTGTGAATTTTGAGCAAAAATATAAAACAAATTTGAAAATAAGATTCCATGTAGAAAATTTATAATTTGAAAAAATGGAATAACATTAGTATTGTTTGGTGAATTTGGAAGAAAAAAAATGGAAAGGTATGAGTCTAGCATGCTGTTGGTACCCTTAAAGGAAAAACAATTAATTCGATAACCATTACGTTGAAAAGGAAGAAATTGTAATGAAATTGGGCTCTCAGCTCCTGGTCACTAAATAGTACTATTTTGTCCTCCGGGGGCTCCACCAAGAGGTTCTTTCTCAAAAAAGTCCGCTCCACCTCACCTGAATGCAAACTACCTCCTTATCCAGATTAACCATTATGTTGAAAAAGAAGAAATTATATTGAAATCCTAAATCCAAGCCATTAGAAAAATGTAATTCTTACCAGATTAACAAAGTTAACAACAAATCAAACCAAACTAAAAGCCTAAACCAAAACAGGAAAATAAATTAAATGCCAATGAAAGAGTAAAACATGTATGAGCAAGGCAGAGGTTTACAAACTTTGTTTGTTCCTTCAAACAGGCATAAAAGGGTCTCGAGTTTTGCCAATTACCCCACAATTGCAGATAATTATAACCATATTCTATTCTAATTCTAAAAAGTAGGTGTCAATCAAATTATTAAGTGAGCAAAACCAAAGGAAAAAAAATGTTAAAGAAAGAGAAACATAAATTGCTCATCATGGATTTTGGAATAAATAAATAAATAAATAAACGTTAGAAATATAGAATAAAGAGGTCACCTATTATTTTGCATATGTATCTTTGCAACTCATACACATAGATTTGATAATGTTTGCTTGTCTGTGATCCGCATAAAGACATTTTACCAAGAGTTATTAGCTTTTTCCAACCTTTCAAACAAAATTATATTGTCTCACTGATATGAAATTAAATTGAAAGTAGAGCGCAAATAAAGTTTGAGGGGTTTAACAATATTTTCTCATCCATTTAAAGGGGTTTAACAATATGAAATTACATCAAACTTCAATCAAGTTGCATAATTAATCCATATAATCAACATGGATTCCGCAGGGAGCTAAGGGAGAAATATCAATTCAGGCTATATCTATCAAATATATCAAAGAAAAATCTATGTCACTTCTTACTGGGTTGACTATTACTGTTGTCGACCAGTTGCGACAGAAGTGATTGCTGCAAATTAAAGAGTATCTGCAAGATAGAAAAGAAAAAACAAAGGCAATAAGAAGCAAAAGTTAAATTATGAAAGAGAGAAAGAAATTGACTGATGAGCATTGAGTTTGTATGGAATTTCTTTCTAAATACTTTGCAAGTAGAAGTTGTGAATCTTAATTAGGTTTCATGTCTTAGTCTTACATACTGTGTAATTTTTGCAGGACCCTGATAGTTGCTAATGCTGGGGATTGTCGAGCTGTGCTTGGTAATGGGTAGAGCAGCAGAGATGTCAAAAGACCACGAACCAAATTGTAAATATGAAAGACTAAGAATTGAGAATCTTGGCAATGTCATATATGACGGCTATCTCAATGGTTAATTGGTCAAACACAAATTTCAAAACTCAAAACCTTAGGCACCCAGAATAAATATACCTGTATAGTCTAAGGAGAAGCCAATTTACAAAGAAATTCTGGGTTTTGCATCATCCCCCTTAATTAAGAATTGGAATCGAGCATGTTGCGTTACTGGGGGTTGGAACCTAGAATTTGCTGTCAAATAATGTTAAGAAAGAATAAATTTCATCCTCAAACTTATCAACAGAGAAATTAAAAACAAATGCCAGGCTTGAAAATAAAATATAAAAAATAAATAAATTCAAAACAAATAAAGATTCTAAAATTTCTTAAGAAAGATTAAGTAAAGGATCAAAAAATAATGCGGTGAAACAAATTTGAGAAAATAAAGGGAACCAAATTTAACCTGAGTATTGTTTACCAACAGACCCAAACCAAATCCCCAAATATTACGCAACACAAAACCATAGAAATCACCAGAATTGAAAACCAGTGCCACTGAGATCACCCACATGGCGACGAACTTCGATCATTGTCACCGATCTTCATCTGCTACCAAAGCCAAAACCCTTTTACATACGGGACCTGAGAACGAAGACCCACCAAGAAAATCTCAAGGATAGGCGAGAATTTCCGAGAAAAATTCAAAAATTTCGGCAAAGATGGTGTTTGGTTTTAGGGTGAGATTAGTGTGGGAAGTAAATGGAAAAGTGTACTGGAAAATTACCCGAAGGAATAGAAGAGGGGAACATGAAAGATCATGGCTCTTTCAGTAGGGAAGGAGAGTCAGAGCCTCAGGGGAAGAGCGAGATGAGAGGATAGAAGACCGCAGAGTGAGAGAGAGAGAAGTGGAAACGGAAGGAAATGTCGAGAAGAATTGGAAGCAGAGCCTTCGACGATGAATGACACGTGGCTAGCCTAAAAGGGAAACGGTGAGTAACGCCACCCAACGCACGAAGAGAACAGGCGATGGCAGACGCGTGGACACAAAGGGCACAACCGTCTTTTTATTGTAGAGAAGCTGATAGAAAACACTGAGAAATAATTTTTTTGAAAGGCATTTTCGTCATTTTACTGTTATAAAACAGTACCACCCGAGTTTTGGTTTTAGTATATATAAATTTAATTTAATTTAATTTCCCATTTCTAAAACTTAGAGCTGCTTCTCTCTAGCCTCGAGCCCAGAGCCATGAGGGCTCTCTCCATCTTGCTCTCAAACCTTAGCCCATCTGAACTTCATTTCTCTACCATCATCAACACAGCAAAGAGGATCATGGAGTGCATCATGCCTGCAAACGGAAAAGCAGGGGCCTCATTTCCGTCCTATCCAAGAGCTTAAAGGTATAAAGAAAGAACTCTCCCCCAAACTTCTTTGTTTCAGTTTTGATTTGTGCATTTCAAGAAAATAAACCAAAACTAATACATGCATTTGGTCTTTCTCTGTGCAAGGAACTTTGAGCTAACGTCAGTACCATGGAAGAGACTGCAGAATTGCTACAAAATCTCAGATCCGGCGATGCACTGGAAAACAAAACAAGAAATGCTCGATCCAAAGCCAAAGGTATAATTTTCGACTCCCTCTTTTTTTATCTGTTGCTGCATGTGTTAGATCAGTGAATTTCTATATGCTTATGTATTGCTTTCCCATGTGCTTCCATGTACCATTTGATGAATGTCTGAGAAATTTATGTGCCTGATACTAAATCTGGTCTCTGTTAGAGTACCACGTCCTTCGTGCTACTTGGATCTCACCCCCAAACTTGTATTGTAGTATATATTTGTTTTACAAAATTTGAGAGCGAATGAGAAGAGTGGGTCCAAGTAGGTACAGAGTCTTATTTGCAAACCCACTGTAACGTTTCTGAAACTCAAACTCCAGTTGGATTTCCTTTTAAATTTCTGCACTTTAATGCTGATATTGAATGCAAAGTTGCGATGAATGGATGGTTGAATGCATATTAGTGAGATGAATGGATGAATGTATGAATCCACGAGTAGTTGAGATTAGCCCGAATTAGTTCCAAATGCAGTCTGCAATCACAAATAAAAAACCTAATTAATGCTTGTGTTTCCCTTTAGCTGACTTCAATCTTATATTTAATACCCACAATTTTTACATTGGCTGAATTTCGTGATGGAGAATTTGGCTGCCATTATGCTTGTTCTTCGTGCCCATGTAGAACTTATGATGTTCGTAGGACTCATCTTGAATTTCTTCGAGTTTAATTGGCTGTGCATGTGCATTGTCTGTTACAACAGCAAAAATTATTTTATCTTTAGCTATTTGCCCTGTATCGAAATCTGGTAGATTTGTGAAGTGTTGTTCATAAGAAAAATAACAAGAATTAACAATTGCATCACTTGTTCTTGTAGAGTTAACCAATCTTTAATAGCATCATAGGGCAATATTAGGTAATCAGTGACTTGATGTTTATTGACCGAGTGTTTAACTGTTGTGGTTGAGTCCTTAATGTTTGCCCTTCTATGTGAATGAATCTTTGTGATCAAACAGGGTCTCCTCCATCAATGCTTGTGTTTCCCTTTAGCTGACTTCAATCTTATATTTAATACCCACAATTTTTACATTGGCTGAATTTCGTGATGGAGAATTTGGCTGCCATTATGCTTGTTCTTCGTGCCCATGTAAAACTTATGATGTTCGTAGGACTCATCTTGAATTTCTTCGAGTTTAATTGGTTGTGCATGTGCATTGTCTGTTACAACAGCAAAAATTATTTTATCTTTAGCTATTTGCCCTGTATCGAAATCTGGTAGATTTGTGAAGTGTTGTTCATATGTTGGATCATATTTTGAATTTGTATGAATAACCCCTTTGAACATGTCAATTTCAATGCCTTCATGCAGCTTTGTTGGTTGCTTGGTAGCCTCGAGATATTGTATGTGTGGCGTATAGATCTAGGTAGGAATGGGTTCTGGGGATATTTTAGGATCAGTAATTTCCTCCATTGGGTTAGAGTCATCACCTTGTGATTCTTCAATTCTGGCGTCTTTCTGCATATAGTCATAACTCACTACACATTGGGGTGTTTGAATTACACACCATTCCTCCAAAATCTTGTGGCACATTAGGCTGCTCAAAAGGCTGTTGAGTACCTGCCCATCTAAAACTGGAATGCTTTTTCAAATCTAGAGCGTAGTAATCAAAAGTGGGATTGTCCCAACGCCTTTGTGAGTCTTTCCTCGTATTAATATGCTCCTTCACATAGTTAGGAAAATATTTCCTTTCAGGGCATTGCAAAATTTCATGGGTATTTGGACAGCAAAGAGCACAAATTGTAGGTTTAAATCCATAGAAACCTTGTTTTGCGAAAGAAACCCATAAAGGTGGTCCTCCTGGTAGTGGTAGTTCCCAGCCCGTCGTTGAATTGCTCCCAAAATCGACAGATTGTAACAAGGTGTTTTCTTGTGGGAATCCAAACCAATTTGTTGTTGCTAAAGAATCCCATAAAGGTTGTGGGCCTGCTGGTGATGGCAATTCCCACGCCATTGTTGCACTCTTCTCAAAATTAACAAATTGTAACTTATAAAATAAAATTAGCAATTAAATATATAGATATATATATATATATATATATATATATATATATTAAGGCTTATTATATTAACATCCCACAAATTGTTGAATAAATCTCATATACTTAATACACATCCACATTTGCTTTTTTAATGAATAATTATCTTAATACACCCCACATACTTCCCCATAATACCCTCACACCTTACATTCTCAGTATACACCTTACATTTTCTACATGCACCCGATATTTTCTATACACCCCACATTTCTCAAATCTTATAAAGCTTTTAATTTGGACAAAAAAAGGCCGACTGGAATTTTGACAACAGGTGCCGCTTGGGATTTAAAGCATATGTGGGTTGTTTTCAATTCCACCATTAAAACTCATGTCATCTATTTTTAATATTTTGTGGTAATTTTAGATGTTTAATTCTTCATGTAATCTCTATGATCCCTAAAAGATGAATATGAACATAGAAACTTGAATAACACAGGAAAAGTAAGATTAAATAATTATCGATATCGTCAAAATCACTAAACAATAAAAAATATGAAGTCTTACCTCATTTGAAGCTTTTAAAAAATCGATTTCGTGTTTCATTTATCAAAAATAATTTTTCTCAATCAACATGTTTGTAGTTTCATTAGTTAGGGTTTTGTCCAACAATGGAGGGTCAGAGGGATTTTGATAATTGAAGAAGATAAATAATATGTTAAAAATGATTTAGGGTGTGTATAGAAAATTTTTTATTTTTTTTTACCTTATAAGGTCAAAATTGCCATTGCATAGTAGGTTTAATAAAACATTTAACATTAAATTTTAACGTGGAGTGTATTCAACATTTTGTGAGGTGCTAATATAAAAAGCCTACACACACACACACACACACACACACACACAACAATAATTAACTAAGAATGTGGTAAGCACACATTATTAAAACAATCTCCGGCAACGACGCCAATTTCTTGATGGGGATTTTACCACCTGTAAAAGTATGGATAAAAACACATAAAAATAGTACAAGGTTATTGTAGTATAGCAGCTCAAGCAAGGTCGTTCTCCAGAGGGATTGAATGAATAATTTATGTTAAAATCAAATCTTAATTAATTATTTGAAAACAAAGTTTGGAAGAGGTTGATTTTATTGCCTAAAATATTAAAAACGAATTTAATTAAACACAATTAAATAAATTGGCAAAGTAAATAAAACAAAAGAAAATAGTTTTGAAAATAAATTTGAGCACTAGGGTTCCGCCGTCACCTTAACAATCATACGTAGTTCTTCCAATTACTTATGAATTACCCATGCATATTTTGAAGGTTAGGTTTTCCTAAAGTAGGTCCTACTTGGAACCTCCAACATAGAACGTATATCTAACATGCAACCCGCCTGTGGCGTCCATATCAAATGTGAACATGGAAGACTCATTAAGTTTTGTGAAATCCCTTTGAAAAACCATATAACCCTTAAGACGTGTCGTCGATCCTAAGAAGTTACACATATTAATCACAAGAAGCCAACGCCAATTTTAGGGACAACCCTCCTCCAAAATTGCATCAATTTACTTTTCTAAATACCCTAATGGTGGCTAATCATCAAGACAATTAGATAGTTTAAACCGG